GAGCGCAGCGCGGTGTGAGGGGAGCGATGGCGGCGCACGCAGGGCGGGGGGAGCCTCTGCTCGGCCTCGTTGCGTGGAGCAGACGCGCCGTTTGCACGGCTCTTGAGACTGGCCCTTTTTCTTCTGTCAGTGTTACCTGCGGCAGCTAAGTGTGAGAGGTCTGAGAGAGAACGAAGCTCCTGCCGTATAAATAGAAGTAACTGAGGAGAAAGGCCTTTCAAAGCATAGATTTATCCTGGGACACGGCCAGGGGAAGCCCCTCCGTGGGGCCACCATTAACTACAAGGCATAGACTGAAAGGAGGGGTGGATTATAAACTACTTTTCCCCCCTTCATTACAAAAAGAATGCAAAACATGGCTATCCTATAACTGCTACAGCAAATCACATCAGTGGGGTTTTGAACATGCTGTCTGGAGGGGAATATGCCTCTCAACAGGTAAATACAACAAGCAGCAAAACAGTGTTAGTGCTGGACTGCAGGTGACACAAAAGAAGTGTGTTGGTGCTGTATGGTGACAGTGGAACATGTATTGCAGCAAGTGAAAGAGCCAACTTGGAATAAACCAAACTGGGATTTGCAGTTCTTCAAGAAGACGTCTGATCGATCAAAACAGTCACGGCTCTTCCCAGTATCGTGTGATGGTTGTGCTTGAATCTGCCACCACAAAGGCAGCCTCAGACTGTGCTGTAATCTGCCTGTGTTACCCTTTGAAGGCATTTTAGCACTGCCCTGCGAAGGCAGACCTGCTAAATAACCAGGTATGTTGCTACAAACTACAGCCCCTGTATTAATCCCGTTTTCAGTGGGAGTGAGTCACCCTACCTGATCAGCATTACACAGTAATGATGGTCTTTTCAGAAAAAAACCCCTCTGATTTCTTCAAAGGCCATGCATAAGACATAAAGCAGTTACCACATTAATTACAAGCCAAGTTTATTGAAAACAAGGTAAAAACCACTGCACTCGACAACACAGCGTGAGAGGCGTGTTTTCCGTGGACACAGTACTGAGACTCTAGCCAGCAGAGCAATCCCACAGCTCCCCCTGCCACACAGGCAAACCCATCTCTTCTCTTTAAGTACAAGCCCCGTTTTAAATGCTGGCTGCAGCCACTGATAATGAAGCAGCTTGGATCTGAAACAGCATGTTAGAAATCACTTATTAAGCACCAGCTTAATAGTATTTGCTTACATTACTCAAATCATTTTGCTGCCTCTAATCCCTCATTAGATTTTTGGTGGGTTTTTGGTTTTTTCTTTTTTTCTTCATAAGCACTTAATTCTTCCTTGGTACAAAATGTATCCAAAACAAAGGCAAAATACCTAAACATCTTGCTGTGACAATGTTTAATGTTGTTGCTACTTTGCCTCTTCACTGCCCAGGACCCGACAGACTCTTGTTCATGAACTGTCTCTTCACAAAGCAGATCCACCACTGCAGAAGGAAGCACAAAGTCAGACAGTACACAAAAGTGCTTTCCAGGTGATAAAATAGTGACTTAAAAGTATTGAACATCTGACAAGTAATAAATGTTAGGGCTCCAATTTTGCACATACAATTTTCCACACTGGTTTCTACTGGAATTTAAGCAAACAAGAGGACAGGAAGGAGCTCAATGAATTTATAATGCAGGGGGGTTGGAACTAGATGATTTTTAAGGTCCCTTCCAACCCAAACCATTTCTGTGATTCTATAATATAGAATTTTATAAATATAATATATAAAATATATACATTACAATATATACATTATATAATATAGGGCTCTGAATTAAAGCAGGACATTCTACTTTATCTTATTTCTATTATTTTAATTTTGCTGTTTATTCCAATATAATTATGAAGGGCTGCATCAGAAAGATGCCTTTGAAACTAAATTAGCCCAAATAATTTCAATATTAAATGCAGTCCCATTTGCACATGAAATGTATGAACAGACAGGAGGCAATTCATTCATTGATTAGCTTTTTGGTTTTAATCTGGATATGAGACAAAATGGTCTGCTTCAAAGAAGCTTTCAAATCAGAACCAACTGAAAGATGAACAGCATCAATCCTGCCTGTGGATTTCCATTTGAAAACCAGGCCAAGAGCAGATGTGCAGTACTTTGAAGAGTTGAACCAGACACCCCTTATTACTGCCCTGCTTTCTAAAGTAACCCATATTGCCATTCACTGTCTTGCTGCATTACAGATTACATTCATTGATAACTTGCAGGCCGCTATTTCAGTAGCCTTGTAAAAGCCAGGAAGCTTGTGCCACGGTTACCCACATCTGATGCCTCCCCCATCATCTCACTTCTCTCCACACCAAACCTCTCATTAAATCTGTGATGATCACATTAAACTCTTACCTTACTGGGCTTGTCACTCTGAGGATCAAATACTTTCTCACACAGGCGAAGGCCGGTTTCTTGCCTCAGCTGCTGCAGGTAGGCCCTCATCACCTCTGAAACACAGCACAGGAAAAACCAGGGGAAACTGAGACGGCACCGACTCAAACTGAATTGAACAGGGAAGCATCAGCTATCACTGCCTAAAGCAGGAAGTGAGTTTTCACATCTACAGGTTGGCTGGCGCAGTTGGCTTGCTTAATTTACAGACATACCTGGGACTCTTATGGTATTTGTACCAGTAAAAAGGATCATCCAAACTGTTTTCTCTCAATTACCTTTGCTCATTATTGTGGGCTTCCTATTCTGCCAGTGCAGCAGTTGGCTTGGGCTTCATTACAGGGTTTATCTAGTGATTACGCTGATGCAAAAGGCAGACTCAAACTCCTGTTAATTTGTTCTGTTGGATCTAGGAATCCAGGGGAATCACTGCCCCCATGAGGTCAGAAAATCCAGCTTCTGCTCCCCTCATAAGACAGAACTGCAGATTTAGAACATTCAGTTTTAGCAGTAATTGTTCTTACTGCAGTCACAAAAATGCAGCTGGTAAAGCAAGAGCCCAAGGAAGCCTTCGGGGGGGCTGGATTAGCCTTACCTTCCTCCTGCTTGTTGGCAGGTTTGGCGTAAATGGCATTCAGTGGAAAGCCAGGCTCCCCGGGGATTGGGAAGTTGGTGATTCCCAGTGTGTACATCTCTTTCTCTCCCTGGCCTTTGGAGTTACACTGGAAAAACCAGGCAAACAATGGATTAACAGTTACAAACAACAGCTGGTAGAGTGACAGACCCAGATATTTTATCTGTATCACATAAAAACTCATCAAGAACAACAACGCAATGTCTCTTTGGAGATCCACAGCCCTGGAGTACCTGTGGCTCTGACAATAGGGAATAGGGTGAACAGGATTATTTGTGCCACTGGGAGGAGAATATCAGCAAATCTTTCTCCAAGTATCCCCAGAACAGACTCAGTTTCCCTCCTGCACAGAAATCCACTTTTCTCACCTTTTGCAGCTTTTTCAAGCACTCGGAAATGTAGAGGGTTACATAGATCAGTGTTCTGTCAGCCTCGTTCTGCAAAGCAAGAGCAAGCAACAGGAATGAGTTTAAGCCATCTTGGCCTACAATTTCCCCATGAGAGGGAAAAAGCAATTCATGACATTTACCCAGCTTTAAAAATTAAGTGTGAGGCAGGAGAGATTTTGTTACTAGTAGAATTATTTCATTTAAAATAAGCATATTCACAGCACCAACCCACCAAAGAACTACCACATGCAAAGTATCTTAAAACATTACCTTAATTTCATAATTTTTGAAGAAAACATTAGCTTTGAAGTAGTAGATGGCTTCATCTATAATATCTGTGTCCTTAGCTAGCAAAAAAGAAATACAGAGTTAAACAATGCACTGTTACAGTACATTTGGTCATAACTTTTACTCACTGAAATACATAAATAGGGATTATTGCAAAAGCAAAACCTTGGTATTTACAAAAAGCAGAAGCCAGCACTATGTAACACAAAGCAGTTGCTGCTGTGTGAAACACCAGTGAGCTCAGACTGTTAACATTTAAGCTTCCTCCTCTTAGCAGGAGCTTGAACTCCCTTCTCCTCCCTGCATGATTTCTCACTTTACAAATGGCAGCAATTCAGCAGCTCCCCACTTTTCTACCAGTTGAATAACTCACCAGAGTTTTAAGAGTGTAAAAGTCTTCTCACGACATGAAAATGGTTTTGGAGAAACATCACACAAATTTCATTATCAAAAAGAGGTGCCAACCATCCAGAACTGCTTAAATACAGAAGTTATTTCCTTTGTATTTCCTTTCCCAAACTGAACTGCCGCATTACTGGGGAATAGCACGCTCAGGAAGTGCTATTTCATGTGCTGAAGGGAACCCCGACCAGGCTGCCTGTGGACCCTGTGGATGCCCATAACTTCATCTCAATTTTTGAAGCCCCCTACCCAAAAGTGCTGCCTAAGCTACTCCCTGCCCTTCAGAGCAGCCAAGTGTCTTCAGTCAGACCCAAAGCCCAAGTTCTCTGTAGCTAAACCTCCACTTCCTCTGACAGCAGAGGGTTCACACCACCACGTCCTCAAAACCTACTGATGAGCGCAAGAGGAAGCACGAGAATAGTAACCATAGGCTTTAATTACTGAAGCAATTGATTTAGCTGGAGCATTGTGCACGTTTCTCTGTGCATAACTGTTTTCTATGACTTGAACACCTTAAGTATTTGAAACCTTTTTTTCCTCCTTTATAAACTGCACTTTATAGAAATACACACTGGAAATAGCACTCCATTTCCAACCTGTGGCTCTTCTCATCGCTCTTGCTAGGGCTGGCTTGGAGCAAACTGAGATGATGATGAGTTATACACAGGCAGGTTTTCAGAGGTTATTATAAACTTACTTTCCCGAGGTGCTGGGCCTTTGAACTGGCTTCTGATGGGTAACAGTGCCATGTTCCCAATTAGCTTGGTGTCGGAGTCCATTAAAGTGGAGTGGTAAGCCTAGAGATGGGGGGAAAGCTGGTTATTACTGGTACTGAAAATAGATATTTCCCTCTCTGATCATGCGTCCCCTGTGTCTTCATCAAACCGGACTCAGTCTAGTTTGTTAGTGATGCTTCCAGCATTTTTTCTTTGCACAAACAATGTCCGTTTTCTCTTCAGGCCCAGATCTCAATGCCATGCTGGTGAAGACCATGGAAGCATCATTACTGACACCACTTATGATCACAGTGGAGCGAGACAGGATAAAACAGGTACGGTTGGGCTGCAGGGTTTGCTTCATCCCCAGGCTGCCAGACCCCATCCTGCACAGCACCAAAGGGGCAACAGCCCTGTTCTCCTGCCTCAGTTTTGAGGCCATGCATAGTTCATTGAAAGTTAAATGGCCATTGAAAAAGACTGTATTTTATTTCCATGGCTAGCTAATAATATTAGATAATAATAAATAAAGCGAGGCTTAACACATACACACACAGCCAAAAAATAGACCCTTCTGTGCAGTGTAAAACTGCTCTGAAAAAAAGAACAAAAACATTTCAGCATGTGACAGATTCTCCCTGGAAAACCGATTTTTAACCACTGATGAGTTCAGCTTTAGGCACTTTCCAAGCATTCCCACCGGGAAGCCTTCACCTCCTCATAGCCTATGTTTTGTGGGAGGAGAAGGGGATGCAGCCAGGGGCGCGTGTGTGTGAGCAGCAGAAAGAAGGGGTGTGAACAACCCCAGAGCACAGCGTTGCTTTTACCACTCTTTACCCGCCTTGCTGCAGCCGGGGGCTGCTGCCCTCCGGCCCGCGGGTGGGTCCCTCGCAGGAGGAAGAAGAGGAGGAGGAGGAAGGAGAAGAGGGCGTCGCCCTTGCAGCAGCCTCCCATAAGCAGCAATGCCCCGCTCTCAGCGGGGTTCTCTACAGCTCCTTTGGTCCCCAGAGGCTGCCCACGGCCGGCAGAGCCCCTGTCCCCACCCCCGGGGGGAGCGCTC